CGGGGGTGCCCTGGGGGGTGTTTTGGGGGGGGGGGGCACATTCGGATTGCAGGCTCCTGACTAGCTGATCCTCTCCCCTCCTCCCGCCACGCGGCTTGTTTGGGGACCCCGAGCTGCGAAGACCAGATCCTGTCCCAGTGGGGCAGAGGAAAGAGCCCTGCGGTGCTGATGACTCGACTGCTCAGCATGGAGGCTTGCAAAACGTGCAGTGAGCCTCGTTGCTCCTGTTCGGATTACTGCGCTCAGACATTTTCCTTGGGCAACCCAGCTCGGTGATGGGTTTTTTTTCCAGGGAAGGGGAAGGTTGGGGCTAACTTCTGCCTGCGGCTGGAGAGGGGAAGTGAAATCCATGTCCAAGTTGGGAATCGGGTTGGCCTGGCTCTTGGGATTGCTCCCTGGCTCAGGGCATTGGAGGTGGCTGGGTGGTTTAGGCATGCAAATGAAAGGAAAGTTACTCCAAGCCTTGCATTGTATAGGGCAGCAGACTGCTAGGAGCCAGAGCTCACTTTCCCTTTAACAGGCTGTGAGTACTCATCTTCCTCTTGCTACCCCTTTGTCTGGAGCAGGACCGAGCACACACAGGAGCTGCAACAGTACTGGGCTCTTGAACGTGGTGCTTGGACTGGCCTTATGAAACCAGGGGATGATCAATCAAGCACAGCACACTGCAGGCAGTAACGCAGCAAGGGCTTGTCATGAGAAGCCGGGGGTGGGGATGGTGGTGCACATCTGCTAACTACTGAGCCTGTGCTAGGTGAAATTCCCTACTTTGCCTTTGCTTGTAAAGCCCTTTGGCGGGCTCAGTTTCAAAAGCCTTGGGAGGCATTCTGGTTACAGCCCCAGCAACTTGCACTTTGGTCTGGCAAGGCATTAGGCTCAGCCAGTCAACAGCCTGGCTTCCAGTGACAGAACAAGAAGTGTTACTGTGGCACTCTGCGGGGGAAGGAAATATAGCTACGCAAACATGACAGTGCAAGGGAAAAAATAAATAGCTCAATTCATGTTTGTGGTGACATTCGTTTGCCAATTTTTCTGCCATTGCAAAAAACAAACCCCAACCAAACAGTTTGTGGTGACATTAGTTTGCCAATTTTTCTGCCATTGCAAAAAACAAACTCCAACCAAACAATGTGTTTTGGGTCAGTTATGTAGCTATTTCCTTTGATCAGTGAGGAATGGAGCCAGTGCTGTTAGCTATGGCTGAGTCACATGCGTCCTATGTTCTCTAGAGGCAGGCATTTTATAAATTTCCACTGCTTGCTTATTACGTGGCATCACTTTCTGTAATGTGTTTTCAAAACCTTGTGGGGATAAAAACCTTTGCTTTTAGCTCTAAATATGCACAAACTTGTATGGCATCACTTTCTGTAATGTTTTTTCAAAACCTTGTGGGGATAGCTCTGCTTTTAGCTCTAAATATGCACAAACTTGTATGAATGATTTGCCTCCTACTTAAGGTGACCCTTTGGAAAAGCTTGTGGTTGTAAAGAGCTTCTAGAAAAGTGCATCTTGCAAAGCAAAAGCTTATTGAAACAGAACATGGGCACAGAGCCACATGTGAAGTAGAGTCAATCAACTACTGACTTCACCAGACAATAGATGTATGCCCTAGTTTTCATGCTGTGCTCACATGCTTGATTCTTTATAAAGCTCAGGGATAGTGCCATAAATTATTGGCTAACTCCTTGGGTTGAATTATCCCTAGAATGTATATCTTACAGTTGATGAAATATTTCTGTTGGCCCTTGATCCAAACATGATGTATCACTTCCTGTCTAAGTCTTATCTTGCTGAGGACTTGCCACATGTAGAGATGCTTTAGTTTAGAGCAACAGTTCCAAACTTAAGTGGTTCACTTAAAAAATTGGTTGTGACCTACAAGGGTGGAATAAAGCACAGGATGGGAACCCTGCTTTAGAGGACAAATCTGGACTGTGCATAAAATGTGGGTATCATGTTAAAATGCAGAGATGTTCCATGTTCAAGCCAATGACTCTAGCCCAGTGGTCCCCAACCTTTTGAGGTTGTCGGGCGCCAGGGGGCGTGGCCGTTCATTCCATGTCCAAGCCAATGACTCTAGCCTCTTTGTTCACTGGGCCATACAGGTAGGGACAATACCTAGGAAAACTGTCAAACTTATTAATATGTACAGTACTGCATAGAGGCACTGCTGAGGGGCCTTTCATGCTAGACCATGTGAACTAAAGGGACCACCTGCCTAGTTTAGCTTACACTTCAGAATTATTTATTGAATGTCATAACTGTATCTGAGGAGCAGGTGTGATTCTGGCTGCTGGGAGATGTGACAGAAAGATGAAGTGATTCATCTTCCCTGTGTATCTTGACATACTCTGAAACACTTAATTGATGGAGTCTGCTATTTGGCTAAATAAAAACCCCAGTGTCTTTCTCCCTATCTGTAGATTTCATTGGGAAAAACCTATCCCACAGACACAACACAGTAAATCCTGTTTCCCTCCACACACCTCTGGGAAGGTTGTGGGTTTTTTTTGTTTTGTTTTTTTTAAACTCACACTGATCCTGACCTGATCTGGCCTGTGGAGGCCCTTTTGTGTTCCTCCCCTGCCCTAATAGGTCATTCAGGCTGTGTCTATGCTACAGCAACTACAATAGCTCAGCTGCACCAGTGCAACTGTGCCACTGTAGCACTTCTGGTGAAGACACTAAGCTGTTGGTTTAACTCCTGCCTTCATGAGCAGTGGCAGCTATGGCAGCTGGAGAAGCTCTCTCACCAAAGTAATGTTGCCTACACTTAAGTTTAGTGTACTTAGGTTGCTCAGGGGTGTGGATTATTCACACCCTTGAGTAACCTAAGGTATACTGAAATAATTTGTAGTGTAGACAGCCTGAGTCTAGCTCTACTCTACTACTAGGCCTGATATAACCTAGGCAATTACATCACTAAATTGCTGAGAGGTCAGAAAAATCTAGGAGTGGCATAGTTAGGAACTCTTCTGTCAACCAGGCCATGGCCTCTTGGGCAGGTGGATTACAGATGTGCCTTTGCCACACAGCTGTAGCATTTTTAAGTGAAGGCAAACCCCTTCATATACGAGTAACCTAAGGTATACTGAAATACTTTGTAGTGTAGACAGCCTGAGGTCTAGCTCTACTCTACTACTAGGCCTGATATAACCTAGGCAATTACATCACTAAATTGCTGAGAGGTCAGAAAAATCTAGGAGTGGCATAGTTAGGAACTCTTCTGTCAACCAGGCCATGGCCTCTTGGGCAGGTGGATTACAGATGTGCCTTTGCCACACAGCTGTAGCATTTTTAAGTGAAGGCAAACCCCTTCATATATTGGTGCAATAGAATACCCATTGCTAGACAGTGCTTTACTCTGAAAGAAATGGCTTTATTTAACTAAAAAAAACCAAAAACTTGGACTATAATGCAAAGCCTTCTGTGATGTTGTTGGAGCATGCTACTGGAGTGCTACGCCGACTATAATCATCCACCATAACACCTTATTGGGGGCAAACTATAATCCACTTCCTGAGAATATTTAATTTTATAGTTATTGGTGATCCACGGGTTCTCAACCAGAATGTATGCTTCGGGCCTCTCCTGAAGGCAGCATCACCAACTGTCTTAGTTATGTGATGACTAACTGTTTTGCTTGTGATACATCCAGGAACAGGTCCAGGCTTATATGCACATGGAGTTCATTTCAAAGCTACAGTAATATTTCAAATGCTTAGGTGAAATTAATGTTAAATTTTCTTTTTCAGCACTTACAAAATGTCTGTTAAGGAACTTCTCATTCAAAATGTTCACAAAGAGGAGCACAGTCATGCCCACAACAAGATCACTGTTGTTGGGGTTGGTGCAGTTGGCATGGCTTGTGCAATCAGCATCCTGATGAAGGTAAGTGTCAGGGCTTAACTCTCCTTCCTCTGGGACTAAAGAAAGAGAATAGCTACATCCATTAATTTACCTGGCCACTCTTGCACCATGTAAATGCCATTTTACCTGATATGTTAGATGGAATATAGGTATTTGCTCATACCTTTGCTGTACATGAGCTCATAAATAACATTTACTATTAGAATGTTTCCCCAACAATTGCCAGCTTTCTGACTTTCTTTTATACAGAACCCCATATCTGATTTAATTAAGACCAGGGTCAGATGGAGAATAGGAAAGCATGAGGCTGCAGTGCTGTCTAGTGGCCACAGGAGAGATCACTTGCTTCTGAAGCCAGATAATGGAAGGTCTGATAAATGGGGGTTTACTGTAACTATTCCCTCTGGGCAGATAGCTAGAATAGTTGCAGAAAAAAATACCTGGATTCCAAGACTTTTTGTACTGCTAGAATTCCTAATGTTTGGTTTTAAGCAAGAGAAAACAAGAGCTATTGAATTGTTTGTTTTACTGTGTAGTGGAAGCAATTCCAATGTAGATATGAGAAATACTGGACTGAGATGTAAATGTGTGTAGTGCACTGAGTATGCAATGTAATCTCTAGAACATAGCTTCTTTCCCAGAACATACAGGAATGGAGAATGGTAGTCTGTTCTAAATCTTAACTGAATTCTCCAAATTGAATGACCAAACCATTTATTGATCATGGCATGGATGATTTTTATTGTAATATAGTCACTGATTGTTTCATAAGTGTCTTGTTCAGGTGAACATGCATTGAAACATTTGCACTCCACAGTCTAGTACCAATAGATGTAGTACAGAAAGGAAAACTACTGCAAATCTCAATACTTCCCCGCCCTCCCAAAAGCTAGCACCTTGATAGAAGTAGAATTTCCAGGTAACTAAAATGTGCCACAGAATGACAGTTTTCTGATCTAGACTAGCAATAGTTCTTTAACTACATTTAACTTATGCTGCTGCCATCTTTCTAAGGTCTGACTTGACAGATTAGTGTTGCATCTTAACATGCTGGATTTCTGAATTAACTTGCTCTTTAATTGTGCTTCTGGCTTCTTGTAGGATTTGGCTGATGAACTTGCCCTTGTTGATGTCATAGAGGACAAACTGAGGGGAGAGATGCTGGATCTTCAGCATGGCAGTCTCTTCCTTAAAACACCAAAAATTGTCTCTGGCAAAGGTTAGTGTGCTGTGACTTTTTTAAATTTAATAGTTTCTAAATGGAGACCATCACTTCTGACACAAAATTGCTCATCCCAATGTTAGACATGATCTGTAGTCCTAGTATTGAATACCAGGCATTAACCTGTTTGTTCATACAGAACAGGTGATGCTTGGTCTAGCCATGACTGCAGGGGACTACATTTGATGACCCCTTGAGGTTCCTTCCAGTTCTGATTCCATGAACAGAAGAATGGCCATGCTGCGTCAGGCCAGTGGTCTACCTAGCCCAGTATTTTGTCTTGACACTGGCCAGAACTAGCTACTTCAGAAGGAATGAACAGAACATGGAAACTTCAAGTGGTCAGTCTTCTCATGCCATCCCAGTTCTGATCTTAGGCATACCCGAAGCATAGGTTGGTGGCTCTGATCATCTCAGCTAACAGCAACTGATGGACCTATCCTCCATGAATTTATTGAAGTATAACTGGGTTCAAAAAAATCAACATCCTGTGGCAATGAGTTCCAGAAATTGATTCTGCACTGAGACACCTATTTCCTTATGTATGTTAACTTGTTTGTTTTCATTAAGTGACCCCTTAACACCTGGTCTGCCAGCATTTGACACCAGTCATGGTTTTCTAAACTTCTATCCTATCCCCTTGCCTTTAGTTGTGTCTCTAAGATGAACAGTCCTCAATTTCTCTTCTTAGGGAAGATCTTCTCTATTCCTGGTCACTGTTGCCCTTTCCTGAAAAAAAAAAGTGGTTCAGAGCTGCACAACAGCACTTAGGATGGAGTTTGCTGGCTGCTTTTGAGTGGTGAAGAGCCAGGGCAGGGGTGAGCCTGCCTTAGCCCCACTGCACCACCACCCAGGAGCCAACTGAGGAAAGCAGTGCCCACCCAGAGCCCACATCCCAAATTCGTACCTCAGCCACGAACCCTCTCCTACACCCCAAGGCCCTGCCCAAGCCCCAAGTACCCCTACATCTAAACACCTTCCCAAAGCCTGCACGTAGCAGGTATCCCAAATGCCTGCCCCAAGCTCAGTTCAGAGCCTCTCACTCCAAATCCCTTAATCCAAGACCAGAGCCTGCACCCCAATCCTCTGCCCCAGTCTGGTGAAAGTGAGGGAGGATGAGGGAGGGAGGACCAAATGATCAGGGGTGGGGCCTCAGAGAAGGGGCACAAAGGAGGTGGGGGCAAGGGTATTTGGGTTTCAGGTAGATCTTGGGTTACACTGAAATTCAAAAAGTGATCTTGTGCTTAAAAAGGTTGGAGACTCCTGCTTTAAAGGTTCTTAACATAAGTGTATCGTCTTACCCTGATCACCTTATTCTGTGGCTGGATAATCCCCACCATGACTTGTGTTCTTGTCTGCCCCTCCTGTTGGCTATAAACAGCCTAGGTCAAGCCAGTTTACATTTTAAAGTAGCTACTGACTGTGGCAAGTGCTAGTGTATAGCTAACTTTTCTCAACCAAAGAATAACTCCCTCATCCATACGCAGTCTCTAGGGGTGTGTCTAGACTACAGGGTTTTGTCGACAAAAGTGGACTTTTGTGGACAAAATTATACCTGCGTCTACACTGCCACTGAGTTCTGTCAACATAATGCCGACAGAACTCAAGTTTTGTCAATGGCTGTAAACCTCATTCTATGAGGAATAACACCTTTTGTTGACAGTTCTGTTGACAGAAGGCGTAATTGCATCTACACTCATGTCGACAAAGCGGCTTGCTGTGTCGACAGAACAGGATGTAGTCTAGATGCTCTTTGTCGACAGTATCTGTCGAGACAACTTCTGCCAACAAAAGCCTGTAGTCTAGACATACCCTAGAAGAACGGAGGCACTTTTTTTTTCTAATCTTAAGACATGTCACCCACACTTATTCTAGCCAGAGAAACATACAACATCCCTACTTATGCCTCAGCTACTGTCCAGATGGGCTTCTTTCAGGGCTACCATCAGCAGCAGTGCACTCAGTGTTTCCTTTCATGGAATGTGTCTTTTTTCTTTAAAGGTAACCCGTTGAGTCTTCCCAACAGGGCTTTCTTCTCCCTCCTTCCATTGTTGGAGACTCCTGTTACAACTGACACGAGTCTGCTTCAGTAATGCTCTTGGGTGAATGAAAGCCGATGAGGGATCTGCAAGTACCACTGCATGGCAGGCAGACAGTGCTATATGGTTTTGCCACTCCCCCCCCCCCCCCCCCTCTC